CTCTCCCTCCCTCCCTCCCTTTATTTCTCCCTCCCTTTCTCCCTCCCTCCATCCCCCAGCAGTGCCCAGTGTCTGCCATTCTCACCCTTGTGCTCATGGGCATCACAGTATTGGTGACATGCTTCAGAAATTCAGTGAGTGATTCCTCTATGAGTGCTCAATTATTATGCACTGTTAGAACTGACAATCTGTTTTATATCCTGCAACAATGGCATCTAGGCATTGGTTAGGTGGTAGGCTTGCAGCAGTGTTCTAAGAATGGAGTGAAAGTCAGTCGCTTTGGGCCAGAAGTGAGAGGTGTTAAAATGCCACCAAGATGGGCTCTGGACAACCACCCTGATACCTGCTGCTGCCAATGGAGGAGCAAGCCTTCAGCAAAATTTTGGATAGTGCTGAGAAAATTAAAAGTGGCATTAAAGCCAAAAGCCTGTTTCTGTGATTATAGATTTATGTAAAATAGGAAACATTCCTCTTAAGTTCTATGTGTTTCTTTGGGAAGATTAGTCTCATATGAAGTGTATTTGGGATTAAATGTGACTGTCCTGTGCTAACTGGCATTCCTCATGCTTTTTCTTCTTACAACTGAGAGAATGACTGCTGCCGGATTAATTCCGCTCAAAGGCTGTTCACATCACTGTCCTGCTCAGAAAACTCCTGTGGCTCCTCACTGTCCTCTAACTTTATCCTTGTAATATTCAAGGTGTTCAGAGTCGGCTGAATCTCCCCATGGGACCAGAGGCTCCCAAAGACTGGGCCACAACCCTTACATTCCATGCTACCAGGGCCATACCTTGAGTCCACCATCAGGGCCTAACTGTTGGGTGAGGCATTTATGTACTGGGGGTGGAGGTCAGATGTGGGGATCAGTACCTGGAATGGGATAGGAATTTGTGGTGTTCCAAACACTACTGGATGGCCAATAAGAATGGCTCTGGATCAGTGCCTGGCACATAATAGGCTTTTATTAAATATTTATGTGATGAATGGTTTTTATGAGAATCTTTGCCTTTGAAGTTTTCTAACCTCAGGGACAGAAAGGTGCAGGAGTCTCCAGGCTCTTAGGCAATTCTGGGTTTTCAATTCCTTGGTCTAGGCTGGGGAAATGATCTCTATAATAAAACACATTTCCTATGTTTATATAAGGCAGGGTATCTCAACCTCGTGACTGTGACATTTTGGGCCAGATAATTATTTGTCCATATGTTCTCACTCATAAGCGGACCTCAAACAATTATCATAATACTATAAGAAAAGGATTGGCAGTAGTGGGAAACAGCCAGGGGAACGGGGTGGGATTAGCAGTTGAGGGAAACTGCTAGGGGAGGGAGGGGCACACCTCATCAAGCGTACCTGCATAACCAATGTCTGTATACCTAGCCTTGAATTCTACCCCACATCTTTAAAATAAAATTTTAAAAAATAAAAATAAATTGTTGTGGTGAGCTGCCCTGGGTATAATAGGGTGTTTAGTAGTATAATAGGGTGTTCAGTAGTGACCCCTAATCAATAGTGCCCTGTACCCCACTTGTCTCCAGACACTGCCAGATGCCTCTGGAGCTGGGAGTTGGGGGAACACTGCCAGATGCCTCTGGAGCTGGGAGTTGGGGGAGCACCAAATGACCCCCAGTCGAGAACCCCTGGTCTAGGGCTCTAATACGCAAGTCCAGTTGCATACTAGTATCACTTGGGAACCTTACAAATTATAATGCCTGGTATTTTGAGTTATTCAGATGTAATTGGTTCTGAGTAGTGGCCAGGGTACAGGGAATTATGAAAGCTCCCCAAGTGGTTCTAACATTTATCTAGGACTGAGAACCACTGGTCTAGGGCTTCTCAGCCTGCAAGTTTCACATATATTACAAGCTTTACAACCCACCTGTGCAGCAGGTGATGCAGGTCATTATGGCTGGAGAAGGGAAGTCCAGAGGGGGGTGGTATCGCCCCGTGAACGGTGAAGTTGGGATTTCTGCTCAGCTCATCTGACTCCTAACTCAGTGTTCTTACAAGAAGCAGGGCACAGCCTGGGCAGGTTGTCAGATATGAGTTTTCCCTTTTCTGATCATTTTCCACATCTGTGGTCTCTCACCTGCTCACTCCCCCTTCAGTTTCCCTGTGTGTCTTTATGCTAAGGTGCAGCTAACAATCGTCTACACTTTAGTGTGAACACAAGGCTGCTCTCTCTCTTCCGGAGGATTTGCAAGTTATGCCTCGTCTATAATCACAGAAAGAAAGGCTTACATCAATCCATTGATGAAGTAGGGATGGTCTTGGGGGTGGTAAACTGTTTGTGACATCTCTGCAATTAAATCCAATAGGTAGCTAGCTATAATTAAGGTTTATCTTGTTCTAGCTTGGAGCTTAATATTCTGTCCAGTTCCATTTCATTCACAAGTGAGTATAGATCATCTCCTTTGGGTACTGTGCAGTTGTGAAGCCATTCTCTGTGGATCAGACCTCCTTAACTAGGCTCTATATTCCCAGGGTGGGAGGTATCTTCTCCTGTTTCTGTGGCACTCAATATGCTCTGGTCCCAATTAGACATGTAATGTAGTACGTACTTAACACATAGGTATTGAATCTCAGGTCACACATGCTCCCAGACCCAAGCCTGTGCCCCTGGAGTAAAACACGCACAGGTGCAACTTCGGGACTAAGTCTGCAGACACATGGCTGAAGCTCTCTCTTTTGCCCATGGGTGGCATCAGGAGTGGCTGAACCTGGAGAAAAAGTGAGGGACGTGGAGAGTGCAACTGTCCCCAGACAGATGCTTTGAACCGAGATTACTTTATTGGTATGGCTCCATTTTAAGAAAAAGAAAAGAGACAAAGCCAAGAGACAGGCTCTGCTAACAGATGCCTGGGGGCGGCTGGACATTTCTGCTCCACACTCTGTAAGGAGGGGGATCCTGGCTCGCACGTCCACACCACTCATTCCTTGAGACAAGGTCGTCTGCCTGGGCCTCACTGCACCTTCTTAAATACTTGCTTGCAGACCACACCCTGCACTCTCATTTCCTGAAACAAAAGCAGATGCTGGTCACTGGCCAGAGCAAGGTCACACAGGGGGCTCAGTGTATCTAGGGGCAGGGACTTTAAAAATACACAGTGGCTGCTGCTTTTCCCCAAGAGCTGGTTTAACTAACCAATTCTTTGAAAAGCAGGTTGAACTGTGTTGTGGAGACCAGATTCAATAGCTACCTATGGACAGAGCTGGCTGGGAGGAAACAGATGTGGCTCAGAGGTGACCAGTAGGATCCCCTGGTGCCTGCCCTCCCCCTACCATTCCCCCTTGCCCCAGACTGAGATGTCTTAGAGAAGTTTAGAGAATTCTTCTTGGCTCTGGCCTGCACAATTTGGCATGGTGGATATATACATCATTTGGGAACACACTCTGTAGATGGGCAGTTTGGACATGTAATCTAACCTTTTAGCGCCCTCATGTCCTCATCTCTAAAAAAGGAACCACATTTATATTTTGAGAGAATAGAAAGAAATATAGAATGCAACAGGGTGTAGCTCATGGCCAATGCTTAGTAGATGTACCTCTTCTTCCCATGCCTCTGATTAGATGACTGGGTCAGACTAGACCTTGAAAACACACTGCTTAGCTTTTAAAGTCACTCTAGCATCTTCTCCAGGCCCTTGGAAGAGAAGCTTCAGAGTAGTCTTGGCATCTTCTTCCAAAGTCCATCCAAACCTTAACAGTGATGAGGGACTCTGGGGGCCCAGCTCAGAAACCTACCAGGTGCAACTCATCACCCTCGATCCACTGGGTCCAGCCACGCCCCTCCTTCTCGCCCTTCTGCACACACTGGAGCTTGTCCCCGTCCCAGCTCACCGTGGTCTGCCAAGCAAGAAGCACAGTAGTCAGTCCTGAGCAATCAGGCAGCCCTGGGGGGCTGGGGAAAGGATAGCTCTCAACCTTGATAATCCAGGATGCACTCATGTCAATCTCATTATAGCAAATTTGAGCCTAATACTCCCTGCCCACCACATGCTTTCATTAAAGTGTGTAAATCAGTTCTACAGTTTATGAAAACCTCCATACATTTTATTTAAAAGGGTAATTAGGAGGGAAAAAGTCACTGAGGTGGGGCTGTCATAGCAAGGGCTGAGAATGGGGCTGGGGGAGGAGGGACCTTTAAGGGCTGAGCACAGCAGGGAGTGGGTGGGGTGAGTGGGCGGGGTGAGGCAGAGTGGTGGAACAAGGGCTGGAAGGTGGGGAGTAGACTTCTGAGAGTACCCTCCCCATCCTGAGACCTTTCTTTCTTTTTTTAGATCAGAAAATATAGTTTACTTAGAAAGTAAATTAGAGAGAAAGAGAAGATTCACCTCCCCAAGGTAGGGGAGGGGGCCAAAGCCATGAAACATAGTGAAGGCCATAGCTCAAAGAGCACATGGCCACATCAGAGTCTCATAAGGCAATGGCTGCAATGGCCTGGTAATGGCGCTATCCTGAGACATTTCATTTATTCATTATTGTTTCAACCTTTGCTGGGTCCTGAAAAAAAGCAGATGCTGATCACTGGCCAGAGCAAGGTCACACAGGGGGCTCAGTATATCTAGGGGCAGGGACTTTAAAAATACACAGTGGCTGCTGCTTTTCCCCAAGAGCTGGTTTAACTAACCAATTCTTTGAAAAGCAGGTTGAACTGTGTCGTGGAGACCAGATTCAATAGCTACCTGTGGACAGAGCTGGCTGGGAGGAAACAGATGTGGCTCAGAGGTGACCAGTAGGATCCCCTGGTGCCTGCCCTCCCCCTACCATTCCCCCTTGCCCCAGACTGAGATCATGTCTTAGAGAATTCTTCTTGGCTCTGGCCTGCACAATTTAGCATGGTGGATATATACATCATTTGGGAACACTCTGTAGATGGACAGTTTGGACATATAATCTAAGTTTTAGAGCCCTCGTGTCCTCATTTCTAAAACAGGGACCACCAAAAAGATCCCACCTGCCTTCAAACCCTCTTCATCTCATGGACAGAATGACCTTAGGTGTAACTAACCAACTGTTTGCGCACATGGCAGCTGCCAGCTGCAGGCTGCCTCTCCAGGCACTCCCGGGACTGTCTCTAAAGCCTCACGCCTGAACCTTTGGAGCACAGATTAGCAACTCCTTCTTACAGATTGGGTAACGGGACCAGCCAAGTTCACCCAGGTGGTCCGTGGAAGAGCCAGGTCAGACCACAGATCACGGGGCTCTCTCCACTGCACTACACTGATTCTTCAAGGGCCTGTGTCACCAGTTACAGGTCGGAAGCCACGGAAGCCCAGGTAAGAGTCCTGGGAAGGGGAGGCTCGGGAAAGAGGAGGCAAGGGTTGGATCCTGAGGAGAGGACGGTGGAGTTGAAGGAGAGGAAAGGAGGTGGAGGTGCTGGGAGAGAAGAACTCTCGGTGCCCCATCACGAGATGAAGACTCAGAAGTATGCTCAGGAGCTCCCCAGGCAGGCCCCAGGGAACCATGGGGAAGGAGGAGGAAGACACCATTGCCCTGCTTGGGCTTCCCACATCTCACCTTTGAGCCCTCACATCTGCTCAGAGCATGGCGTGCCCTGCCAGGTGCTGGCCGTGCCAGAGGAAAGACAGACAGGAAGAGGCCTGGCCCAAGACCTTGGGAGATTTCAGTCTTGTTGGAGCAGAAAGGGCTCACCTAGAAACACAGCTCAAAAACGTGTTGGAATTCAGAGGCAAGGCAGTCCTGTCTCCTTAAGCGCAGCTGTGAGTGTGGCCTAGATTGGGACAGATGCCCTGGAGCTGGGCACACAGAAGGTGCAGTAGGCATCTCTCGTATTTGCGGCTGCCCACCTCCTTTTGAGTAGCCTTTCCACATGGGGTGATTCCACATTATGAGCCCTGTAGTGGCCAGAACTGTTTGCCCCTTGCTCATTGTGTGGCTCTGAGCAAGCTCACCCCTTCTCTGCCCCGTGTTCCTGTCACAGAGGCCTTGGCTTTAAAGAGCTAAAGTTCTAGGATTCTCGCATTCCTTGCCATGTTCAGCGGAGTCAGGACAGGCATCAACAGCCTGAGAAACGATTTGGGAGAGAAGGAGAAGTCCGGGGGAAATGGGTGTGGAGTTAGTAGGGCCACTCCCTGCAGGAGGATGGAGCTTCGCGTCTGGGCTTGCTGATCACTACTGCCCTCTGCTGCTGGGTTGAAAGCTGCAATGAGATACAGGCTCAGGGAGGCAGGTGGAGCCAGCTGTGTTCCTCAGCTCTGTGTAGGAGTAAGTCTAACTTCTGCTCCTGGAGCCTCTTCCCAGTGGGAAATAGGGCACAAGAGGACTTGGGAGGCTGTTCATCTCCCTGGTCCAGAGATTCACTTGGAGTACATGTCTAGCCTTCAAGTTAGAACATAATGTGGTTAATGTCACACTTAAAGATGACTAGTGGTCTCATGTCATAAATAAGACAAGATGCCCATTCCCTTTATCCGTGCTTCACTTGTGCCAGGCCTGTAAAGGGAAGTGGGAACCAAGAAGTCCGTCCTTGGCTTCAAGGAGCTCATAAGAACACTTGGTTTTCTAATCAACTGTGTGTTTATCCAGAAGGCTACTGTGCATGTGAAAGGCTCCTGATTCAATCAGAGGCCCAAAGAGAATTGCTTGTTTTCAGCTATAATATCCACACTTTGGCCTCTTCTGGGAATATTAGTCAGTGAGTGAGCATATTCACCATCTTTGTATCAGAAAATAACGATAGCCGGGCTCGGTGGCTCAGCTTGTAATCCCGCGCCTTTGGGAGGCTGAGGTGAGAGGATTGCCTGAGCCTGAGGGTGCGAGACCCTCCTGGGCAGCGAGACCTCATCTCTACAATAAATCAAAAAATTAGCCGGGCGTGGTGGCATATGCCTGTAATTCCGGCTACTTCAAAGGCTGAGGTGGAAGGATCGCCGGAGCCCAGCAGGAAGAGGCTGCGGTGGCTGGGAGCAGCCACTGCACTCCAGTCTGGACGACAGAGTGAGACTCCAACTCAAAAAAAAAAAAGAAAAGAAAAGAAAATAACGATAATGAGGATGTATGTAATATTGCTTCTTCAGAGATAACTGCTCTAACATTGTATATGTTACAGTGTAGGGTGAATTTCCATCCACTCTTATCTATTGATAAATAAAATAGTGGATGGAAATTCACCTTACACTGTAACATTTGTACATATATATATATTTCTGTTTTTACAAAATTAGGATTGTATTATTTATAATTTTGTATCCTCATTTCTTCATTTAATAGAAGCAATTTCCCACTTCAACAAATATTCTTCACAAGCCTTATTTTAATTGTCAAATAATATTCAGGAAATGACTACATAATTTGTAGGGTCCAATGCAAAATGAAAATGAGGGGGTCCCTTGCTCAGAAATGATCAATAATTTTAAGACACCAAGAGCAGAGCATTAATTAAACCAAGTGAGGGGCACTTCTGAGCACAGGACCCTAAGAAACTACATTGGTCAGAGGGTTATGAAGCTGGCCCTGGCAATATTTCATTTAACATACATACTATTAATTAGTTGATTACCTATTCTTGGCTATTTAAGTTGTTAATAATTCTGTGCTACTACTATTCCTTGTGTACATAGTTTTAAACACATTGTCGCCTTAGAATAAATTTCCAGAGAAGGAATTGTTCCATCAGGGAGTGTGCATATTTTTAAAGCTTTTGATGAGTATTGCCAACTTGATCTCCAGAAAGCTCAGACCTGTTTATCTACCAACACCAGTGTCAAAGAATGGCCGTGAAAGAGATGCTCATTAATGGTAAAATGGACTTTTATTTCTGGGCTACCCTTTTCAGATCACTTGGCATCTTTTAACAGGGGCCATCTGGATATAAATAATAATATCTTAGCCCACAAGAATGACAGAATTTCAGACAACATGATAGATCTAGGGTTACAAAGAGCAGAAGCCTGTTTGAGAGTAGATAAACCTTTCTTAGAGGCCTAAAAATCATACCTCTTAAGGGAAGCATACCCCTCGCATGAATACAACACCAGTTTCCAAGGAGGCACCTTCTTAACTCCAAGCTTCTGTTGACTCTGATGCTGGGTGAGTTGAACAGAGCAGACGTTATTCTTATCAGTATTAGATGTGGAGGAGTGGCTGGGCTCAGAGAAGTTATATGACTTTCTCAGTGTCACTCAGTTAATGAGAGAAAAAATTTGAGCTGGAATATGGGCCTTGCGTGACTCGGTACTCACTTGTTTTTCAGCCCAAGGCAGAGCACCCAGCGAGCCCTGGGCAGGCGTCAGCAGATGCCTGCCAAAGTCGTTGGGGGCTTCAGGGAAAACAGAAGCATTGTGCTAAGACTCTGAGCAGCTTCCTGGAGAAGCACACTTCAGTCCACTCATTGCAGGGTGTGGGTGCTGGGAGTCAGAAAGGGGTCTTAAAGACACCGGCTTGTAAAGAGGTCCCCACAAGGAAGTGCAGAGAAGGGACCAGGCTATCATAACATGGCCCAGTGTGGTAGGCTGCCACAGGTGGGCTCCTGATTCTCAAAAGGAGTTTTAAAAAGTGGGAGGGGCATTCTGGGCTGAGTGAATAAGGAGGCACAGGAAGGGTGGGTAGGAAAGAAATGACAAGCACACCAGAGCTCTAGAAGTCCATTCTGGAATTAAGAAGAAGGGGGAAGAAGGATGTTGCTGGTGGGGTTAGATGGGACTAGAATGCCAGGCTGAAAAACTTGGACTGCGTGGCCTGAAGCATATTTTGAGTGTCTATCGTTGCGGGTGTGCTGCTGGGTGGCACCACCCAGGAGGGCATGCAGCACTGTGGTATATGTACAATGGTATCTATGTATGTACCATGTGTGGTGGTGGGCCAGGGAATCTCCAAGTGTCCTC